TAAATGACCTGATTGTGTCATTCTTTCTCATTTTATCTATTCTGGTTTGTAGGTGGTGGTATTTCATCTTTATATATTTTGATCACTTAATTATTAGAAGACCTGAGCCTATTTTTTTTATATTTCTTAAAAATTTATATATACTGTTTTTAAGGGTCTATGCAAATTTTCTGCACTTTTTTTCCTACTGTGATGTTAATCTTTCTAAATGATTTTGAAGAATTTAAAAAATAACTTTTTTTTCCCCCTAGTTAAATGTGAAAGAATCTTTTCCATTCAAAAACTTATTAACGGGTAATCTTTGGATACTTAAAGTAAGAGAGAAAAAAGTCTTTTGGGGGTGCCTGGGTGGCTCACTAGGTTAAAACCTGTGCCTTTGGCTCAGGTCATGATCTCAGAGTCCTGGGATTGAGCCCCACATCGGACTCTCAGAGAGCCTGCTTCCTCCTCTCTCTCTCTGCCTGCCTCTCTGCCTGCTTCTGATCTCTGTCAAATAAATAAATAAAATCTTAAAAAAAAAAAGTCTTTTAACATAGTTGCATTGTCTGTACTTTTCCCTTTTGTTTATATATGTTATAGCATGGGTCTGATTTGGGGTCCTGTTAATGTATCGTTCTACTTAAAAAAGTTTTTTAAAGATTTTATTTATTTACTCATGAGACAGAGGGGCATAGAGAGAGAAGCAGGCTCCCTAAGGAGCAGGGAGCCCAATGCGGAACTTGATCCCAGGAACCCAGGATCATGACCTGAGCCAAAGGCAGATGCTCAACCATCTGAGCCACCCTGATGCCCTAAAATGTTTTTACTTGGAAATAATCTGAAACTTACAGAAGTTGTATTAGCAAAGGATATCTATGTTCCCTTTAGTCAGATTCACTTATTAACATTTTTATCCTATTTATTTTATCATTTACTCTATGTATACATTACTTTTTCTGCATTGAGAGTATGTGCATTGTTTTCATCCCCCTATGTACTTCAGTGTGATTTCCCAATAATAAGGATATTATTTTAGATAACCATGATAGTTATCTGCTTCAATAAATTTAATGGATGTAATAGTTTTATCCACTCTACTTCTTGTATTCCAGTTTGAAAAACTGAATCAATAATGTTCAGTGATCAATCAGCATGATCTCAAGCAAAGCTCAGAAATAGCCTTGGGGATTTTGCTGGAGATATATTTTTTTAAAGATTTTATTTATTTATTTGAGAGAGAGAGAGCATGAGAAGAGAGAGGTCAGCAGAAGAAGCAGACTCCCTGCTGAGCAGGGAGCCCGATGCGGGACTCGATGAGGGACTCGATGTGGGTCGATCCCAGGACTCCAGGATCATGACCTGAGCGGAAGACAGCCGCCCAACCAACTGAGCCACCCAGGCGCCCCTTGCTGGAGATATTTAGAAAGAAGTATTCCCCTTGGGGTTGTAAATGCTTAGAGTCATACTATTGGAATTGCCAGGAGATTTATTTGTTATCACTGGGAAAGACTGATGAAAATATAGCCCATACAGAAAAAACAGTGCAGATGGTGGTAAATAGTCGCTGATCAATGAAAGTCTGAGTCTCTAGTTTCACTCGATTCCTCAGACATTCGAACTTGTCTGACACCACAGTCATTTTTTTTTTTAAAGATTTTATTTATTTATTTGACAGAGATCACAAGTAGGCAGGCAGAGAGTGAGGGAGAAGCAGACTACCTGCTGAGCGGGGAGCCCAACATGGGGCTGGATCCCAGGACCATGAGATCATGACGTGGCGGAAGGCAGAGGCTTAACCCACTGAGCCACCCAGGCGCACCACCACAGTCATGTTTATGGGTGAACTGGTGGGGGGAAGGGGAAGGAGAGTGAAGTAAGCACATTTTATGTATAGTCAACTCAATCTAAGGGCAGATTATCTGGTTTATGGACCAACAGAGGTTAAAAAATACGAGGTTACACTGTAAAAATTTTGAAGAACAATTCAATGAAAACATCTGATTTTTTGAGCACATCAACTGGAACTACAGGTAATCCATAGATGCCATGTTCTGTGTAATTGCCTCTCGGCAATACAACCTACAGTGAGGGACAGCTCATGTGGTTCTGGATCCAGGACGGCCCCATTGGGACCTAAAAAGAGTTGGGTAAGGAAAGGGAGAAAGCAGGGATGAAGAGCTTCCAACTTGAGTCCTGTTGTGATATTAAAAAGTGAAAACTCATCTAGGAAAACAAAGTTATTAGAAACTTTTAATAGACAATTGAACCTAGCCAATTGCTAATTTAAATACTGTTCGGTGTTCCTTTTTTTTTTTTTTTTAAAGTTTGGTGTTTTTTTTTTTTTTTTTTCTTTAAAGATTTTATTTATTTATTTGTCAGAGATGGAGAGAGAGCGAGCGCACAAGCAGGCAGAGCGGCAGGCAGATGCAGAGAAGCAGGCTCCCTGCTGAGCAAGGAGCCGGATAAGGGACTTGATCCCATGACCTGAGCTCATGACCTGAGCTGAAGGCAGGGGCTTAACCAACTGAGCCACCCAGGTGTCCCCTGTTCAGTCTTCTTATACAGTACTCAGTACTATCGTTTTAATTCTTTGGGTGATATAACATCGTCCTCCCAAAAGCCAGATGTAATTTAAAATTTACACTAGGGGCACCTGGGTGGCTCAGTCAGTTGGGCGTCTGCCTTTGCCTCAGGTCATGATCCCAGGGTCCTGGGATCAAGTGCTATGTTGGGCTCCTGGTCAGCGAGGAACCCACTTCTCACTCTCCCTCTGCCTTTCCACTTGTTTGTGCTCTCTCTTTCAAATAAGTAAAATCTTGCAAAAAAAAATGAAGATAAATAAATAAATTTACACTAAATCAGTCTACCTGATCTTGTCTAGTTGTAACACTACTTTTTATAGCTACCCCTGATAAATGAGTGGTGTCTTTTTTCCCCATTACCCCCTCCTAAATGAGTGGCACCCGCACTTGGCCAAAGAACTCAACACCATTTGGTAGAAACAACCTTCCTGTACTCTTTAAGCTTTTTGCAGAGACATGGGCTGTGGAGGGAATTCCCCAACCCATGTCTTCAGAAGTTTCGAAGCCCAGATGAACAAATAGAAATGTGACTGGTTTCCCAAATGCTATGGAGGTAGTTTATGGTTGGTCTGTCTTTGCCCCTTAAACTATGCTTAAATTAGGAAACTTTAGAAGTGATTTACAAAACTTTCTGACAATAAATATATAAACAACATCTTTATTGACAGTGGGCCAATAAGAGCAGTCAAATTTAGTTCATAGGTAACCAAAAACATTTGAAAAGTGGAACACTAAAACTTCCAAGGTTCATGTTGGAGTACAAATACAGTCTAATTGAACGTCAAACATAAACAGAATACTGAAATGTCAAGGGCCAGAGTTCCCAGTAAAACTTAAAGCTAGTCTCTTAACACTCTTCAAACGGCACTTAGATTACAAACTCGTCTCTGAAACTATCAGATAGCTTCTGGCTAAGTGGTACTTAGGAGAGAATAAAGCAGATTCCCCAAGGTCTCAAGGAGGCTGTGTAGGGAGCAGCACCAGATGGAAAGACGAGCAGAAAGAGAAGCCTCTTCTCTATGCTGTGCTAGACAGTAGGATGGTGACAGTTCTTGATGTTAACAAAAGGCGTGGAAGACACATTCATTCCTAAGTAATTGCTATCGGATCAATGCTTAGCCACTTATTGCAGACTGAGTTTGTATCTCCCCAAATTTATCTTAAAACTTAACCCCCAGAGGGATGGTACTAGGAGGTGGGGGCCTTTGGAAGGTGAATAGGTCACGAGGGCAGAATTCTTGGGAAAAGGTTTAGTTGGCCTTATAAAAGAGGCACCAGAGCCCCCTTACCCTTTCACCATGTGAAGACAGAACAAAAAGATGGTGGATCCTGAACCAGAAAACAGGCCCTCCCCAGACATGGACCTGGTGGGGCCTTGGTCTTGGTTGGAACTCCCGGGTCTTCAGAACTGTAGCCACTCAGTCTGTGGTGAGTTATTTCATTGTAGCAGCCCAAATGGACTGACGTTTCATTAAAATACATATATATGTATGTTTACATACCTTACAAACATACTTATAGAAGCCATCTGTTTAATTTATTGTGAGCCAGGTCTTTGACACACATTGTCTTATTTAACCCTTACAACCTTACAAGAGAGGGATGATTTATTCCCATCTTACAGATGGAGGCCCTGAGACTTAGAGACAGCAAGTAGTAAGGTCACATAAATGTTAACTGGAGGGGGAGAATCCAAACTCAGCTTTGGAAAGCCCAAATGGATCTTACTCTGGAAGTCAAATTTTGGCCCCGAAATAATGAATTTATTTTCACTCAAGCAACTGACACACAGAGAAGTATCAAGTATTTTAGGCTTTGGGGGGGACATACAATCACTGTTGCAACTATTTGACTCTGTTGTAACAACCAAATGTAAATGAATGCGTGTGGTCAAGATCTAACTAAACATTATTCTGAGATACAGGCAGAAGGTGGACTTGATCGTGGGTCCAGGTCACAGCCTGTCAGTTCCTATTTTTGAACATGAATACTGAGTATGAAGGGGAAGAGGGCTGAGCGCCTTTCCCTTTACCTTGTTCCTTTGTCAGCCTCCTACACTGACCTCTCAGTCCCTGAGCCTTCCCACCCACTTCCACCCCCAACATGTTTTTTATTCTTTCCAAAACCTTTTCCCAGTTTGTTCAGCCCCATTTTTGTTTTAATTTCCATCACGGCTGGATTTAACCCATTCATCCTTAATGCTCTTGCTCTAAACTCTATTCCTCTACTTCTCCTCAATAATACAACTAAGGTTTACAGAGAAGGAATTATAGGAAACAATAGAGATAATGTGGAGAAGGCCAAGAGCAAGGACTAGTTGCTGAACGTTCTTAAAGGATAGAATTTAGAAGAGAAAGAAGAAATCTGTAACTATTTTCCTTCTATCTTTTCTATACTCTTCTCTTCATACAACAGAGTAACAATAAAAATTGACATTTGTATAGTGTTCTGCTAAATATTTATTTGAACTTTTGCTTCTGCATTTCCAATCCCACCACTTGTTTTTGATCACCCGTGTAGCTTATCACATGGTTTCATGCCTCTTCTACCTTCTTTAGGGCTCTTGGACATAGCCCAAAAAACATATAGGGAGAACAATAACAACAACAAAATGTGGGTAGACATGAAAGCCAGAGAAATGGCAACCTCTTCTTCATGGAGGGAAGCTGTTATCCTCCATTGAGTCACTGTCCTGTGAACTATTTTCCATATCTGACAGGAAGGTGTGTCCTTGTGTCTCAGAGTTGCTTCAGTTCTCCTCCTTGACTGGGACCCTAAATATAATAACACATTGAACTCATCAACTTTTCAGACCCTCAACATCCTAGGGGCTTTTTCTCAAAGTGACAAAGCATGGTTTACAGAAAGCAGAAAAACTGTAAATGAGTTGGAAATGAAATATCCCTAATACTTTGCTTACAGAAAAACCAAGGACTCATTCAATTCCAAGGATACGAAAAGAGGCATTTGATCAAAAACTGCAGTTGAGATTTTGACCCACTCTTAACTTCAGGGAAATTCCAAGGAAGGAGAAAATGAAAATCTACACAACAGAGGGATAACAATTATCTAAATTTATGAGCAGCATAATCCAGGAGAACATAACTTAGAACCTGCAATACATTCTACTTTATGTTCATCAAATTAGATAGTAGCCTTTGGGGAGGGAGGGAATCCGAAGCATATTTCAACTCTTAACCTTACATTTTATAGCTAATATAAAAGAAATAACCCTCCCTGAAGAAATGACACTAGCTGTACATCTGGAGATCTATTTTGGATCCAAAGGGGAACAACTGTGTCTTCCTGATGATAAAGATAGGAGTCCTCCACCTATGTTTATAAATAAGAATTTCCTTACAGAGTGAGAAGCTATAACAAGGCTCTCATGTGACAAAGAGAGGGAGAAACCAGACTTCACAATGATTATACAGTTATCCACTTCCAAGGATTTCTTGAATTTCCATGAAAGGGTTATTTGGTAGTGGTGGTGGGGGATCAAAATAGGAGATCCCTGGCCAGAAGCTTTCATAATGATCAAATCAATGAATAAAAAGAACATTCTGTCTAGGGCTCAAAACTATCTGTTATGCAAGTAAAAGTAGATGCATACAAAATTGGTCCTCGAGCAGGACTTTACGGGTGTCCCACCTAAACTACTCAGGTATTTAACACAGTGAAAAAGCCAACTTACATTTCTTCACACTTAGCAATTTTTCAGAGTTGCTCTTCAGTATGAATTCTTTGATGTCTGATGAGGGATGAGCTGCACTTAAAGCTTTTCCCACATTCATCGCATCTGTAGGGCTTCTCTCCAGTATGAGTTCTCTGGTGTTGAATTAGAGCTGATGAATGGATGAAGGCTTTTCCACATTCATTACATTTGTATGGTTTCTTTCCAATATGAATTCTCTGATGTTTAGCAAAATTTGAGCTCCGGCTGAAGGTTTTCCCACATTCATTACACTCATAGGGTTTCTCTCCAGTATGAATTCTCTGATGCTGAACAAGATGTGTACTCTGACTGAAGGTTTTCCCACATTCGCTACATTCATATGGCTTTTCTCCAGTATGAACTCTCTGATGTTTAGTAAGGGATGAGCAGTGGCTGAAGGCTTTCCCGCATTCCTGACATTTATAGGGTTTCTCTCCGGTATGAGTCCGCTGATGTTTAATGAGAGCTGATGAATGAATGAAAGCTTTATCGCATTCATTACACTCATAAGGCTTCACCCCAGTATGAATCAACTGATGCTGCACAAGATGTGTACTTCGATTAAACCCTTTTCCACATTCACTGCATTCATACGGTCTCTCTCCAATGTGAATTCGCTGATGTATTGCAAGGGATGCACTTTCTGTGAAGGCCTTCTTGCATTCGCTGCATTCAAAGAGAATTCTAGTATGAGTTCTCTGATGTTTAGTCAAATTAGCTCTGTGGCTAAAAGATTTCCCACATTCACTGCAGCTATAGGGCTTCTCTCCAGTATGGACCCTCTGGTGTCGGATAAGCACTGAATGGTAAGTGAAGAGTTCACCGCAATCGTTGCATTTATGAGGTTTCTTCTCTTTACAGGTTCTTTGCTTTTTCATTAAGTTTGATTTCTGTTTCAACCTTTTTTCAAGGGTATGGAAGGCATAGGATCCTCTGGGAGCTCTGTCTTGAGTGAGAACAGACTTTGGACTCAGGTTTTTCCAATAAACATCATGCTCGCGAGCTCCTTCTTCGGGGAGTGAATTCACATGGCTGAGCATTTCTCTCAAGTGTCTCTCCTGATTTCCTTGCTGATTCTCTAGCCAGTTTTCACATTCAAGAGCTGTTTCCAAGCTGGAGTCATAGACACTATCCCTTGTCAGTCTATCTATTATTGCAGTCTGGCATGATTCATTGGAAAGATCTTGCACTGAAGTTGAGTCTTTGCCCTCAGGTTTAATCTCCAGGTCTGAAAGAAATTGGAAATGCAAATTTCCTTTGTTTTCAGCGCTCAACAAAAGACAGTTCTGTAACAGCTAATAAAGATGAAAAGCATGCTTCCGAGGAGGAAGTGGATTTGACTTTTTAAAGACGACTTGCAAAGAGAAGCAAATGGAAGGAAACAAATGCACAGTGTATGTGGAGAAAATGAGTAGACCTTATCCAGCATAGTCAAAAGGGGGTAAAAGATGACCAGAAATACAGAAGGAGAGATGCAGATGAACCAGTATTATCGCTGGATGCGCAGGAAATGAGCACACTAGATCAGAAGAGGAAGAAACAAATTCCTATTGAATACCCACTTGCTGTATTAAATATACTGTTATCACTTTAGAGGACATAATGACTTTCAGGTTTCCAGTCATGCAGTCCTACCCACATCCAAATAGGCATTCCATTTCCAGTTTAACCTTCCCTAACAATGCTTTTGTATGTCTCCGATCAAAAATTCCTATGATCTTCCAAAGATATAATGGCAAATATATGGTATCTTATATACATAAGACTACTCCTTTTAACTCTGAGATAGTGAAATACTGGTAACGTCTCCACACGGATTACAGAGAACTGATTAAACGCAGTATGATGTAGACATAAAATGCAGTACTTTCCAACTTTTTTAAAACATCACAAAGATCTCCATATATAGATATGAAGTTATCTCCAGGATACATTAAGTAATTTTTTAAAAAAACCAGCAAGCTGGGGCACCTGGGTGGCTCTGTGGGTTAAAGCCTCTGCCTTTGGCTCAGGTCATGATCTCAGGGTCCTGGGATCGAGCCCCGCATCGGGCTCTCTGCTCAGCAGGGAGCCTGCTTCCTTCCTCTCTCTCTGCCTGCCTCTCTGCCTACTTGCAATCTGTCTGTCAAATAAATAAATAAATAAAATCTTAAAAACCAGCAAGCTGCAAGTGAGTGTGTACAATCTGCTCCTCTTTATGTAGAAAAAATGGGGAGGGAGATATAAATATATGCACATATTTGGTTATATTTCCAAAAACCAAGGATGGACAAATGAAATATTAATAAAAATGGTTGCTTATAGGAAAAGTATCAGAATAGAGGAGAGAGGGCAGAGATGGAAGCTAGAGCTCTCTAAATACATCTAATATATTAGAATATTTTGTCTAATATAAAACTATAAAGCTAAACTAATTTAAGGAGTGTGGTGGGTCAAAGCAACAGACAGATCAATGAAACAGAAGAGCAACTTCAGAAATAGTCAAGCATATACAAATAAAAACAATACAAAGGTGATATTTCAGTCAACAAAAGACAATCTGTTTTCAAACAAATGTTGTTATAACAACTGATTACACATTTACAAGAAAATTAAGTTTGACCTGTCCCTCATTTTATACAGCCAAATGACTTCTATTCCTTCACCAAGCTACTTTTCTAAGCATTTATTCAACAGTTATCCATTGAATATCTACCATACGCTAGGCTCTGTGCTAGGCACTGGGGAAAGACACATGCACAGGAGGGGAGAGAGAATTTTGTCTAACATTCACAAAAGCACATAAAAATGTGCTTGCAGGGCGCCTGCGTGGTTCAGTTGGTTAAGTGACTGCCTTCACCTGAGGTCATGATCCTGGAGTCCCAGGATCAAGTCCCACATTAGGCTCCCTGCTCGGTGGGGAGTCTGCTTTTGCCTCTGACCCTCCCCTCTCTCGTGCTCTCTCTCAATTAAATAAATAAAATCTTTTCAAAAAAAGTACTTGTAGTTAAGTATTGAGGAATAAAAGGCAAATGACTATGAAAAAATATGGGGGGAATCTAGGGAGATGAGGGGAGACTTCTCTGAGGAAATAAATCACTGAGCTGGAATGAAAGTGCAGTTGGAGTTCGGGTGAATGTTGCAGGTAACTGGTACAAATCACAGAGGTGAGCATTCCAGGGAAAGGGAATATATGAACCAAAGTGCCAAGATGAGAGGGACACACAGGGAAAGCACAGCGGTTGAGAGGATGGACTCTAGAATCAGAATGCATGAAGATAATCCCAGCTCTGTCACTTACGAGCTCTGTGATCTGGGGCAAATTATTTAACCTCTCTATCTCAGTTTCCTTATGTGTAAGATGGTCAATAACAGTACCTACTTCATGAGGAATAATGACAATACTTACCTTAATAAGCATTAAAGGGATATAAACCCCTAAAAATTATGACACAGCCTAAGTGCTAATAATTTGATGTAAGGCTGATATAGGGATGTAGATAGAAATCTCAAAGTATGGCCCATAAATCCTGGGGAAGCCAGAAGTTCAAAACTATTTTCAATATAATGTTTAGATGTTATTTGTCTTTCATTGTCTTGTCATTTGCACTGTTACAAAAGTCATCATGGTAAAACTGCTTATGACTTAGCGCAAATCAGGACAATGATGATAAACTTAGTGGCAGCTGTATCCTTCCCTGGCATGTACTCTCAGTTAAGAAAAAAAGGCGCCCGTTTCACTTAAAAATGTCTCAGGAAACAGTAAACGCTACCGATTTTATTAAATTTCAAGCCTTGAGTATACATCTTTTAAAATTTCTGAATTGAGGAAGTAAGAAATATTATAAGGCAATTCTGTTCCTATCGAAGTATGATGACTGTCTTGAAGAGAACCACTTGTGGGATCATTTGAGGTGTGAGCTGAACTAGCCACTTTTCCCATGGACCACAGTTTTTACTTGGAAGAATGACTGACAGACAAAATATGTTATCCAAGTTGAGTATTTGACAGCTATTTCCTCAAAAATGAACAAACTGGGGCGCCTGGGTGGCTCAGTGGGTTAAGCCTCTGCCTTCGGCTCAGGTCATGATCTCAGGGTCCTGGGATCAAGCCCCACGTCGGGTTCTCTGATGAGTGGGGAGCCTGCCTCCCACTATCTCTCTGCCTGCCTCTCTGCCTACTTGTGATTTCTTTCTCTGTGTGTCAAGTAAATAAATAAAATCTTTTTTTTTTAAAGATTTTATTTATTTATCTGACAGAGAGAGATCACAAGCAGGCAGAGAGGCAGGCATAGAGAGAGGAGGAAGCAGGCTCCCCGCTGAGCAGAGACCCTGATGCGGGGCTCGATCCCGGGACCCTGGGATCACAACCCGAGCCGAAGGCAGAGGCTTTAACCCACTAAGCCACCCAGATGCCCCTCAAGTAAATAAATAAAATCTTAAAAAAAAAAAAAAAAAAGAACAAACTGAGCCTGTCACTTCAAGGAAAACAATCAATAGTATTTAGTAAAATTTCAGCTTTTGGGCAGAAATCAGAATTTTGGAAAACCTGTATCTGCTCTTGAGAACCTGGTAGTTTTTTAATCCTTAAAGACTTTTCTGATAAGGTCAGTGGTGATATTAGAAGTTGTGATTTAAAAAACACTACATGATGTAATGTGTCAATACCTGAAAAAGCTATGAAATGCTTCTCCCTTTCCAACTATATATTAGTGTGAGGCTGGATTTCTTTCATACAAGTCAACCAAAACAACATATCACAACAAACTGCATCCAGAAGTGGAGTGAGAATATAGATTTGCAAAAATGTAAAACAATGCATTCTTGTCAATAAATTTTTTTTGCAGCAAATAGGTGTTTATATAAAAGTTATATTATTTGTGTTAACATGAAATGGGTTTTAATTATTTTTACATGATTTAATAGTTCAAAAATTTTTCCAATTTTCATTTCTAATACAGTAGGTACTGGCAAATATAACCCAAACATAAAATATAAGTGTATTTACAAAAGCTCTTTCGGGTCCTCAGTAATTTTAAACATGGTCCTTTGATGGCCAAGTACTTAAGAACCGCTATGTTAGAGTACAAAAACAGGGACAGCAGGTGTGAGATTAGATTGGAATAACGAGTAAAAGCCAGATTTTGTAAGACTGTATAGGCCTCAAGGATTGCAGTTGTTATCCTAAGAGCAATGGGAAGACACTGGAGTGTTTTAAGCCAAAGGATGACACCATCGATCAGTACTTTGAAAACATCACTTGCGCTGTGATATAGACTGGTATAAATCTATGGGGACAGAGGCAGAATTGAGATTACCACAGTGGTCCAGGCCAACAAAAGAGAGAGGGATGATAACAGTGAAAAAAATATTTACAGGATGACTGGATAAATGCGAAGTTGAATTGGGTAAAGGAGAGAGGGAAGTATAAAAACTGTTCACACATTTCTAGCTTGTGAAATTTGGTAAGACAGTGAGTGTCATTAAGACAACTGAAGGGGCACCTGGGTGGCTCAGTGGGTTAAGCCGCTGCCTTCAGTTCAGGTCATGATCCCAGGGTTCTGGGATCGAGCCCCACATTGGGCTCTCTGCTCAGCAGGGAGCCTGCTTCCCCATCTCTCTCTGCCTGCCTCTCTGCCTACTTGTGATTGCTGTCTGTTAAATAAATAAATAAAATCTTAAAAAAAAAAAGACAACTGGAAAAGGATATTGGTGGGAGGATGAAGAATTTGGGCCTACATCAGGCACTCAGTTTTATTTATTTATTTATTTATTTGCTTTTGTGAGAGAGAGAGAGAGAGAGAGAGAGAGAGAGCACACGAGTAGCAGGGGGTAGAGAAAGAGAGAAGAATCCACCCTGGGCTGGATCTCACAATGGTGAGATCATGACCGGAGCAGAAATCAAGAGTCATAGGCTTAACCAACAGCCACCCAGACACCCCCAGTCAATCAGTTTTAAACGTGCTGTATAGAGGGGCCCCTGGGTGGCTCAGTGGGTTAAGCCTTTGCCTTCGACTCAGGTCATGATCTCAGGGTCCTGGGATTGAGCCCTGCGTAGGGCTCTCTGCTCAGCAGGAAGCCTGCTTCCCCTCCCCCCTCTCTGCCTGCCTCTCTCCCTACTTGTG